GATTTGTATCAACAATCAAGTATTTTTGAATTTTAAAGCGATTTGATTGGTGTAAATTGGAAAAAGCATTCCAGTCAGACCTCTCTAAGTGCAGCCATTGGACCACATTTTAATAACGCGCATTTAGAAAAAACGCATTTATAAAGGTCAAGCTTATATTTGGGCCAGAATCTAAATGTGCATTTAGAGAGGGTGCGAGGTCTGACCGTAATTTGATTTGTCAATAAAATCACGGGTTTACATTATCATGTGATCATTGAAGTCGACTTGGAGTCGACTTGAAAGGACTCGACTAAAAGTCGACTCGGAGTCGGAAAATCCGAGTCGTTTAACACCCCTATTACTATAACTATTGTATAAACAGGTTTAATAAACGCGTACAATGAATCACGTTCATATGTCAACCCATTTTTATTCATTGTCCGCAGCTTATTTTATAATTATATTACTTTTTTTATCTATACAAAATGATTTATGCATTGCTTTTAGACTATAGATTAGATTGTAATATTACATAACGATAACAGATAAGACTTAATAAAAAATGTAATAAGTAATAGACGTACGTATTGATCTTTGTCAATAATCTCAGAAATTGTCAGAGTGATAATCTACTATATAGGGATATGTTGATCATTTTACTATGACCAGATTTTTATCATGAAAAATCTCCAATATCTTAAATGCTATAGCTATCTGACATAGATTTGATTAATTAGTCCATTTATCACCCTAATAATCTACATACCGATACAAAATTTATAAACTGCAATAATATAAATTATATGAAAGAGTGAAATCTGCGTTTATCAAAAATTCACAATAATAGGCGCATGAATTTGGAAATTAATTGATAAATCCAGTATGGTTGATTAGCTACATAAACAAAAAATACTAGCGTAATTATCTTTGGAAGTATGAAATTTGCCATGAGAAAAGCTATACCTGAAGTTAATGCTCGATATGGTTTGTTTAAGAGTGTCAATTTAAGAGAGTTTTTGTTTAATCCTTGTTTCTAACCTACATATTGATATTTACATATTGATAACATATAGATAACATATATATTGATAACATATAGATAACATATATATTGATAACATATAGATAACATATATATTGATTTCCATATATTGAACGAAAGCACCAAGGCGTTGGTGGAAGAATTTCCGGACACGTGATTTTATCCGACTGTCGATCCTTAAATTGCTTTAGATCTATCGTGTCGCTTACAAATAACGGTAATTGCCGTATAGTTTCGAAAATAAGCATCATCCCTCTACTATCTTTTAAATCTCAGACTATCGGGAATAACTAGGGCTGTTAAAAGTTCGATCCTTTCGGTTCAGACTCCGTAAATAGGGACTTTGATTAGAAGTCGATTCTTGAGTCCGTACATGTAATAATCAAGGAACAAACGAAATGCATTTAGCCAATCATATGGATCACAAATTGGAACAAACGAAGTGCATTTGAACTTTATCTTGGACAGGCTTGAGTCGGTCCTTAAAATGTTGTAAATTATGCGTGCAGTATATATGAAATATTCCATTTGCCAAGATCATCAAAATACTTGCCACGTATACTCTTTTTTGGTACGATCTACTTTTAAAACTGTCCTAATAGAGTTCGTAATCTATAATAGATTCGTAATAGAATTTCTAATCATTATTCTGAACTTAAAATATCGAAAAATTTTATCTTTACACTGCCTCTTCCTATTTTTATCTAAGCTTTATTCATCTTTTCCTACCTTATTTTTTCGTATCGGATTTTTTACCGACCTGATTAATTGATAATCTAAAGACCATAGTGAAGGTTTCGTAAAATTACCTTCACGCTATCACCTGACTCACAGATAACGGTACCCTCTATCATATCGATGAATGAATCTCCTACAAGTTCTCACGCATAAGTTACACGCATAAGTTACACGCATAAGTTATCTACTCTTACCCGATTTGATTTGGTATGATGAACCTCTACAAATTCTCACGCATAACTGATAAGTTATCCTAGCGTTCACAAAAAAATTGTTCATCCCCAGTAATTTTGACCAATCAAAATTTAAGATCAGGTGTCAAAACAAACGTGTTTTGTTAAAGATACATAATTTTGATGGTCTTACTTGCCATATATGATCATGCGGTGTGAATAGATTGTGAATAATCATTCGCTATATATAGATTAGATCACAAATTTTCTGTTAATATATGGTTAGATGGTGGAGTTTTCTGTTATATATATGGGTTAAGTTGTAATTTTCTGTTATATATATGGGTTAAGTTGTAACAACATCGTACTGAATGTGGATTAGATTTTGTTTGATTTACAATCGGAACTTCCTTGTAATTCTAAGAAAAGAATTTTATTTTTAGAAAAGGAAATTTTCTGTTCGTCATTTTTGTAATTCAAGTACAATATCAATATCAGTTCAATATCAATTTATATTTAATATTCGATATCAACTTCGATATCAACTTCAATTCAGTATCAATTCAATGTCTCCAATATTTTTTTTCATATAATAAATTTTAACAACACTGACACAATAGTAAACTGTTGTTAAAAAGGCTTAACATAGTTATTTCTTTCAAGTTTCATTTAAAATAATTATCTCAATTCTAAGTTTTAACAATTTTTTTTTTTTTTTCCGTCGGAAAATTCATAGGACAGATGAATTGATAATCACTGATCGTCGAAGTTCAAAACAAAAAATCATAGCGAAAGAATTCGATGACCTTTTCCAAATGTGTAGAATAATGGTGTGACTTATTCTGTCAAAGAACATGATAGAATTCTAAAAATTAACGTGATGAAAAACTGCCGATTTATAAATGATTACCCGCTTAATTTTAAATCTATATCGATTATTCAATTTTTTTACTATACTGAAAAAAAAAAATGAAGCAAATGATTTTATTTTTATTTATCGGTAAAAAAAAAAACATACACACATACACAAAAAAAAAAAGGAACGGGTGACGAGAAGCATGTTTAACATGCTCATTATTTATTTTTAAGATGATATTTGTTTCGTGATTTTTTTAATTTAAAATTTCTTTTTTTTTTTATAAAAAAAAATATATATATAAAATAAACGCGCTGATTAATCATTAAAATTTCTTTCATATATTCGATTTTTTTTTCGCCTAAAGAAAAAAATGCCTGCTTCTGTTACGGTCTTATGTTATGTTACAAATTATCGTAAATCGTTTGCAAATAAAGATCTTACAATTGTTGAAGCTTCGGGTATTGTAAGATCTCGAAGTATGAATTCTTCTCTGAACATCATTTTAATCGGATTCTATCCTAATAATGTAATTCAGGAATTAAGTTTACCTGAATTCGAAAACGAAGATGTAGTACTCGTGACAGGAAATTTTCGTATTATTGAAAATGTAGATAAAGACGACAAAAAATATCCAATTCTAAAAGTAAATCATAAAAAAATATATTATCTTTTTATTAACTATCTAACTAAAAAATTAAAATGATAAAATAATTACATATTTATTAGATTATTCTAAACGATATCATTTGTTTCAATAATATTGATCCTAACAATATACCCGCATTTCCAATATTGCTTAATATAACGGCGATAGCTCAAGAAGAACCAATAATCGACGAAGAAGATGTAACTATAAAAGTTTCATCTAAAAATTTCATTGATTAAGACTATGCTAATATTGAAATGATGTGTTATTATTCTGTGTATGCTCGACATTTGATGAACGTAATTGCCACTGTAAAAAAACATTCGGTAATTTATGTTAATGGAGAGTTAATAATAACAGATGATTCTAATTTAGTTCATATTCGAAATATTTCATTCTCTGAATATCAGAGTTCATTAGTAACTGCAAGAGATACAATTCAACTATCATGGGAAACTAAAAATAATGACGAAGAAAACAAATTAAATACTGTAGCTCAAACAATCGCTACTAAAGTCAAGGGAAATAATCGTCGTAAAAAAATTACACCTACTACTACACCATATTTCAGAACTAAACCTCGTTCTATTCGTTTTAAGGTTACAGATTTAGCGAATAATTTTTTAAATGAGAAATCTACTACATCTGAACAAACCACTTCCTCGACTACTAATTCAAAATAGATAAGTATAAATTTTTAAGTTTCACGTTTATTTTTTTTTATTTATTTATCTGAAAAAAATAAAAAAAAAAGAAATAATAAAATTAATCCGTCTAACAATCTAATTATTTTTTTTTTTTTAAAAAAAAAATTTAATTTAACGAATTGTAAAATTGGCAAAGTGTCGAGCTGCGTAGTAATAGTGAAATACCTTGCGAAACAGCAAAAAATAACAAATTAACAATTAATGAATAGTAATTATTTCTGTACCACTGTCATTTGTTAAAAAAATCTTTATTAATATATATAAATAAATAAATGATATATATAAATGAATATTTAATTATCTCAAGAATTGATAAATTTTAATATGATGCATTTGATATATCTCATTTAGCCCTGCTTCGAATTCGGTTAATATATCTATAAAATTCAAAAGTTTTTAATTGTTTACAGAATAAATTCGCATCTTAGCACAAAAACAATGAAACTAGTCATTTCTAGCAACTTGAAAGAAATAACGCTATTTTTAATGCTATAGATGGTTAGACAATCTGGTAATTAATTATCATCCGACGATCACAAGATAATGTAAAATTAATTTGTTACATGTCATTCTTAATATATTATTTTTATTTATTACCATTACTAAATAATTAATTAATTAAATAAAAATAATTAATTAAATAATCACCCGATCATCACAATAATCGAACAATGAGTTAAAAATAATTAAAAAAAAAAAAAAATTGTATTTTACATTTTTTCGAACATAATATTTGATACATACAAAATAATTAACTTTTACACAACATGTTAAATATTAGTTGATTATTTTAATCACAATAATTGAACGATAACAACATACAATACTTCAATTTATTCAATACTTCAATTTATTCAATAGTATCATTCGTTTAATACGAAATAAATTGGTAAATGTCTAACACGTTAATCAGACAACATGATAATGAATAACATGTTAAAAACATTGATTGATTAGTATCGTATTTAAAAATATCAAATTTTTTATTCTAACTCATATAATAATATTCTGATCTATTAGAAATTAACAAAGACGAAATTTCTGCTTATTCACATAGAGTCAAAATATTATTGAGTAACCCTCTTAATATCTTGTAGTAGTAATTGGACGATTTTTTTGTAATGTCAATAAATATCATTGATATAAATAAACTATAAAATAACTTTAAAATACAAGTATCAATTATCAACAATATATATTATAATTTACAATGATTATTTAATAAAGAATACTGGACAACTGTTAATAAAGTACTTATCTTTATCTCAATGATTAATAAAACATGTCTTTTAACATGTATAAAACTCTTGAAATCGAAAATCTTGAATATAATGAACAAGTGATTGATCTATCATCTTTTAAAAATACTGCTCCACAATTCATTGAACAAACCGACTTAACTAATAATTTACCTCGAACAGAGGTATTACCATGGATTGCATTTACAAAAATAAAAGAAATAATAAGTGAATTTGAAAATACTATTTTATCTCAATTCCCATGTATTCCTTATTCCATTTGCTCGAAACTCATGTATCTGGAAAAATCTAAGTGGATTCAATGAGACCCTAACACTTTATACCCTCTTGAAAACTATGCGCCGTTAGTTACAAATCTCATTCCACCTATAAATCGTATTGCAGTGTGCACTTCATGTAAATTAAATCCAAATTGTAATTACTCACCATATCTTACATTAACACCAATAGAAATCGAATCAGTACCGTTGGGAAAATGTAAATATTTATCGCTTATTTTCTTACATTGTTCTCTTGATAGAACACCTGCCACAAATCCTTTTACAGAATATAGAACATTAGTAGGCACTATGAATTATTCTCAAAATTTCCATTCGTTGAGCATGTATTTCGGTTTATTAGGTGCATACCTAGAGTCTTCTTCATCTGAAACTCCACTTTGGTTCGACAATTCGTTAATTGATGCTATTAACTGGCTTAAAAAACACAATCCATATATACGTCAATATTCACAAATTATTTCCCCATTTCCAAACATAAACCCTCAGTTTCCTGTAGCCACTCATTCAATAATTGATGAAAATACTCCTCCGCTTCAAAAAAGCGAAATAGTAGTTCCTCATTAAAATTTTTCCACTGAGATTCACGATGAAGATGCAAATTATCGTCATTTAATAGCAAGATTCATAGTTAATGATGATATAAATAAAATTTCCATTGCATTAAACAATTCACATCTTGAGCCACTACTCTTTCCGGATCTATATCCCGATAGCCATGATCACTATTTTAAAATGCGAAATCAACTTGAAAATGTACGACGACGTCATGATACTTTTGGAAAATATATAAAACACCGTCTACTTTCTAGAGACTGCAGATTTCGCTTGCATCATCACTGGCCAGCATGGGCATATCTACAATTAGAAAAATTCAGAAATTTTCAAAATGCTCAATGATTGATTCGACAATCTGTTATTGATGAAACTCACTGTCCACCCACAATCATCAAAATCATTGAACGCAGCACTTACACAAACAGATGGTGATATAATGAAGAAAAAACAACACCAATACCCATATTCATCTGTACAGGAGATAGTTATTTTTAAAATAAAAATAAACACCTAAACACAATGATACAAGAGCTTGGTCTTCCAATACTATTCATAACATTATCGATGGCCGAGGGTTCATAGACTCATCTTCATAATATACTTACCAATACGGACAACTATAATTTATTACCAACCAATAGACCATTACATACAACTCTACATTTTACTCATAGACTTCAGAATGTTAAAAAACTTGTATGGAAAAATCCAGAAATCAGTGAATAGAAAACTTATTCCCAATTTTTCGATAGAATAGAATTCCAAAATCATGAAGCGGCACACCTTCACAAAGTTTACTGGACAACAACAAACATAATAGAAATGATTAACCAAAATATCATACAAACAACTCTTCCAAATCCTAATCTGGAACCTGACCTCTATCAAAAAGTTCGTAACTTTCAAACACATACCTGTAACACTAAATGCGGGAGACCAGCACCACCAGGATTAATATGTAAAAAAGAATTTCCATGCCCAATTTCTAATTCAACATTTTATAATCCAAATAACTACAGATATATTTACCGATGTTTAATATCAGAAGATCAGTGGATAATTCTGTATCATGCACCTACACTCATGTTATAGAATGCTTACATGAACATCCAATATATCACGAATAAAGGACTTGCCTGATATATAACCAAATATATTAGTAAATCAGAACCAACTTATCTTTTTAACATTCCTGAACAATCACATTACAGAGAATTTATTCATGTACGACGAATGGGTTCAATGAAATTGATGTTTTTGTTACTCAGAGAACGTATTATAAACTCATCAATACAAGTGCAATACTTAACATCAGATCCTCCAAATATTCACTCCAAAGCAATTATTTCATTATATATGATCGATTCACTTGACGATGATTCTTACTGGTCTGATAAAATAGAGAAATATTTTGCTAGACTATACAATTCCATATTCGATAATATGATATATAAAACTTACTTTGAAACATATGATATAAAATCAACTCAACCAATCCACTCTCTTCGAACAATATACCGAGATAATTTTGGAAACTTTGTTGTTGAATGAACTAATCACATTCTCACTCGCATGCGAACTATAAGAATAGAACAAGGTGAATTATACTTTTACTAACAACTTCTACTAAGATTTTCATGCCATTCTGAAACAAAAATGCTAAGCAGTTATCAGACTTACAGAGATCACTTCTTAACTCGATTTCTAACTATATCTTAATCAATATTCGCACAAAATTGTGAATTTGAATTAAAACAAACAACACACGCATTAGATCAATTCAACTCCCTCATTAAAACAATAACAATATCGTTAGAACCAATTTTAATAAAAAATATTATAGAAATAATAAAATTACAATTAGATTCTATAAAAATATTATTGCAAATTACAATAATTAACCCAATAATCAACTTACCACCAACTCAATATCATTGTTGTCAAACAATATCTAATTACCTAGGACCCTGAGATGGATCTCATTATCCTTTTTTTTTTTATAACAGGCCCAGCAGGTACTGGTAAATCTTACATAATACGTTTATTACTAGAAGATTTCCAAAAAATGGGCAAAACCTATTTATTAATGGCTCCAACTGGAATTGCAGCCCAAAACATTGGCGGTTCAACTATCCATTTAGCATTGCAAATCATCTCCAATAAATAGGGATTTCACACCCTTGCATTTCATGACGATGAATTAAAAAACTTTCTTCTTCAAATTAATACACTCATTATCGATGAAACCTCTATGGTATCAGGTCAACTCCTAACATACATTTCCAAACTTTTTGAATCTCTACACAAAAACAACAATCCGTTTGGAGGAATAAATGTTATCCTAGTCGGTGACTTAGCCCAATTACCCCAGTCTCTGGTTTTCCAATTTATCAATCTCCCATATGAAAACTTTTCTACCCCTTATTCCTTAAAGAACCTCAGAGACAAAATCAAGATCTAATATTTTTTGACCTTCTCCAAAAAATTCGCATGGGTAAAATTAATAACGAAACGTGGCAACTTCTATCTCAAAAAAAGAACAATACTCTCCAATCAACCGAATTAGATACCACTTTAAACACAACGCACATAGTAGGCTATAGAGAAAACGCTGACCTAATTAACAGATTAATATGCACTATGATCCCTACTCAGGAAAACAAATTTATGATTTCAAATTGTACTGATATCATTGACGATCAAATATGTCATAATAACTCAAACCTTACCGAATTCAAAAACAAAACAAACTTATCAGAAACAATTAGAATTCAACTCGGTGCAAAAGTCATGTTTCTCAATAACTCACAACACTAATATCGAATAGCAAATGATACAATAGGTGTCATTACAGATCTCAGTTTAAACCTGGACCTTGTTT